GTAATTGTCTTGGTATGCCATATTTGATGAACCAATGTTCTATTAAGACCTTTGCCACTGTTTTGGCAGTCTGATCTCGTGTGGGCACCGCCACAGTCCATTTGGTGAATACATCAGTCATTACCAACACATGTTCCGTCCCATCCGATGATTGCTCCAACGACGTAAAGTCCATAGCCACAATCTCTAGTGGTTTTGTCGCTAGTAGGTGTCCTGATGGCTGTCTCATTTTGACAACTGGCATTTTCGCATGCTGACACCTCACACAAGCCTCACAATGGCGTTTGACCTCCATTTCCATATTGGGCCAGTAACACCTCCGTCGTAATATTTTGTGCGTCCTGTCCTGACCCTGGTGTCCTGCCCTGTCATGTGCCAACCTTAGCACTTCTTCTCGTAATTGTCCAGGCACCACCACCTGGTGTATTGTCCCATCAATTTGGTCATGAATTCTCCGCATGAGAACACCATCCTTTATACTGAGACGGTCCCACTGACTCAGTATTTTCTTTGTTTCTCGACCAAATTGTTCTCTTTCCCTTCTTCCTGGGAATTTTTGTTCCTGGACGTGTTTCAACAGCGGCTGTAAGCCACTATCCGTTCTCTGGGCATCTCTTATCTCTTTGTGATTAAGGCAATTAAAATCACTAATGTCCATATGTCCGGGCTCTGTGGATATGTGCTCCACCCCGGTCTGTCCGTTTTGCATCACTTGCACCCCGTGAGGGATATCTGTTGACGCTCTGACCTCACATATTCCTGTCAGCGTTTCTTCCTCATCGCCCGGTCTCTCGTACGGATTCCTTGATAAAGCGTCCGCATTGCCATTGGACCGCCCCGGGCGATATTTTATCTCCAGGTCAAAGAGTGCCAATTCTGCTGCCCATCGCTGTTCGATGGATCCCAACTTTGCTGTCTTTAGGTGACTCAAGGGGTTATTGTCAGTGTATACCACACATTTAGCACCTAATAGATAGTCCCTGAATTTTTCAGTCACAGCCCATTTTAATGTCAAAAGTTCCAGTTTCATGGCGCTGTAATTTGTCATGTTCTTCTCTGATTCCTTCAGAGCTCGACTGGCATACGCAATAACCCTGAAACCTTGCTTTTGTTGTTGTGATAGCACAGCTCCCAGACCTTTAGAGCTGGCGTCAATTTCTAGCCGAAATGGTTTGTCAAAGTCCGCGTATCCTAATATCGGCGTCTCTGTCAAAGCCTTTTTCAAGAGCTTAAATGAGTTCAGGCATTCATCAGTCCATAATTCACCTATCAGTTGTGTTTTACCTTTCTTTTTCTCCTTACTGTGTTTCTTTGTCATTTTGTTTACCAAGTCATGCAACGGTGCGGCAATTTTTGCAAAACCAGGTACAAATTTTCTATAATAGGAAGCAAAGCCCAAGAATGATCTGACCTCCACTGTAGTTGTTGGCTGTTTCCATTCTTTAACAGCTGCAATTTTATCTGGGTCAGTGGCGATGCCATCCGACGAAATCACATAACCCAAAAAATGTACCGATTTCAGACCGAAGCCGCATTTGTCTGGGTTCAGCTTTACTCCTATCTCCCTAAGACGGAGAAACACTTGTTCTAATCTTTTTAGATGGTCCTCCCAAGTTTTTGAGTAAACCAGTATATCATCCAAGTACACCAACATTATTTGAAATAGAAAGTCACTCATAGCACTCTGCATTACTCGCTGGAATGTAGCAGGCGCATTAGTTAGACCAAACGGCATACGGGTCCACTCGTACAGTCCCAGTGAAGAAATAAATGCAGTCTTATGTTGATCGTTGGGGTGCATGGCCACTTGGTGGTAGCCGCTAGCCAAATCTAAGGTAGAAAAAAATCTTGCTCCCCCCAACGCATCAAGACATTCATCAATACGAGGCAAGGGGAATGCATCCCTTCTTGTGATATTGTTCAATTTCCGGTAATCACAACACAGTCTTATCTCCCCTGACTTCTTTTTTACCACTACTATCGGTGCCGCATACGGGCTAGTGCTGGTTGTAATAATTCCCTTTTTTAGTAGATCGTTCAGGTGTGCTTTCACCGCCGAGTAGTGACTTGGTGGTAATCTTCGATAAGGTTGCGCCACCGGCTTGTCTTGTAGTAAGGGTATCTGGTGTTTTATTACTTCCGTGTAACCCAAATCACCCTCGTACGAGGCAAATATATCCCTGTACTTATTCAGCAATTCATTTAGTTTTGGGTCCTCAGTTTCCGGGAATGTATATGATCGGCCATCCTCTTTCTTCACCTCGGCCGTCACATTGACCGACCTAATTGTTACTTCATTACTGCTGGTATTGCTCAGTTCGATGCACTGTGCCGACCTTAGTACCTCGACGTTCTGTGGTACTCCTACCAGAGTATTAGGCGGTATAAAAATTTCCTCATCCAAAACATTTGCCACTAATCCTTGAACTAGTCCCTTCTCCGCTGATGTGTATGTCCGCAGTAACACGACGCCTTCCCTCAGTGCGGCGCCACATGGTTCTATCATCACATCACCATTCACGCTTCTATCACCAATTTGTAATGTGATTGCCTTGACCGTGTTTGCCGGGACTGATATCCTTCCTCTGGTCTTGGCAAACCTGGCCAACTTGGATCCCCGACCTGGTGTGGTCGATCCGACAATATTTGTAAGAAATTCTGGCAACTGGCCAAGAATATTCATGCCCAACAGGCAAGGTATATTTGACACATTTGTCTCTAGGTTGTGTTTCGTAACGAACACCCCAACCTGCTTCAACCTATGTCCCGCCACCACGACATCCGCCAGAAAATAACCACAGTATGGAATGGTTAGTCCATTAGCTGCCGTCAGGCGCATGCATGTGTCAGACCTCAACCTATGGTCTTTTCCTTTCATCCATTTGGTGTAAAAATTTTCCGTAATTGTCGTCACCTGGGAGCCTGTATCCACAATTGCCTTCACCGCGATGTCCCCAATCGTAATCACCATTTCGGGACAGACTCCCATCATTTTGTTTCTTGGGCCATAACCTCGCCCCTCTGTAGCCTGGCCCTGCCTTACATAAGGCGATCGTTTCCCCTGACAGTCCCGTGCCATATGTCCGGGTGTGAACAGGACAAGCAAATTGGTCGACCGTCAGCCGTCCACCGGAGCGATGGACCGGCGGGTCGCGGCCGTCCAACCTGTCTCTGTTTTGTCCCGTTCTTTTCCTGATTCTCAGCTGTTGACCTGCTTTCTAACCTCTCCAATCGTTGCTCAACCTTATTCAGGTGGGCCAACAGTTGAGCCATCATGGTTTCCACCGTGCCGGTCCCTGTGGGTGGGAATTGTTTCTGTTCCGGCACAGAGACTTTGTCCACCGAACAGTTCGATTGGTCCTCATCCTCGGACCTGCGGATCGCTGAGTTCCTGACCTGAAGGAAGGTCAACTGCGGGTCTTTGTGGACCTCCTCTTTCAACTCTCTCCTTAAGATCGGGGTTGCTAGCCCCTCGATGAAATGGTCCCTCAGTAGGCGTACATCAATGTCAGGTGTTTTGCCCTTTACCGAATCAAAGGCCCTGTTCATTCGGTGTGAATACTCCATCACACTCTCCGCCATTCTTTGCTTTAAGCCTACGAACCCCGATAGCAGTTGCGATCCCGACCGTCTCTCCCCAAAGGTCTCCATAATTAGATCCAGCACCTTATCTGGATCTGATTGGATGGTTTTATCGTGGCATTTGACCTCTGCCCTAACCGTCTCTCCTATACTGCCCATCAGCAGTCTTAATCTTTCCTCTGGTGACATCTGTCTCGAGGCCCAGGCCGCTTTGACCTCTTCACTGAACCTGTTGGTTAAAGCTGGATCACCGTCCCCGTAAAATTTGTTAATGTGGGACTCTCTGGGCAGGACCACAATATGGGTCTGCTTCTCGTCCAGAGTAGACATTTTATTCCTTGAGTAAAAAAAAAGAGTTCTTTGTTACCGTGTGTGTATGAAAAATTTTCCTCGTTCCTCAATTTTCCCTGTTCCTGAATGTCCGAATTCACACACACACGAAACACAGTTATGAACAAGGTTGACTATGGGTGCCTCAAGCGGCAAGTCTAGTTGAATTCATCCTGTCCGCAGCGCCAAATGTAACGAGACTATTTGCCTGTAGTGCCAAATGTTAACGAGTTCTGCTCGACAACGCCAAATGTTACCGAGTCTAACCACTCATTCTACACAACATCGACCACAGTATAGATACTCGAAGATGCAGGTTCGCTATTGATCCTTTTATTACATGAATCAAAGAAATGCTTCACAATAATATAATGAATCAAAAGGAATGCTTCACAATAATAGTCTGAATCAACTGACCCCCAACAGTCCTCACTAGTCTTCACATAACTGAATGCACATGTCTATCGTCCTTCTTAACACAATACGGCTAACCCGTTCAATAACCAACTTGATACTGCCTCACTGACTGACTGATCGAGAGAGAGAGCGAGAGACCGAGAGACAGCGAGCTCAGCCGTCGCCTTCCTATATATCCCCTTCGTATTCGTAATCGTATTCGGTTCTATCATAATCGTAATCGTAATCGATTCTAATCGTTGCATCAGAATGTTAATTACGCCGCTTCTGTCGTACAGTCCGATTTAATAAGCCATCTGCATCCTGTCACATCAAAGTTGACAGACCGTATTGCGTTCTTATCGTATCGCTTCCCAAGATACTACGCCTTGGCTTTCTGATCGTTATCAGCCAACACCTGTGTTATTGCATCAGTCGTGTCAAAGTTGACAGCGCTGTACTGCGTTATGTCTCTGGTAACTTCCCCTAGTTACATATATATATATATATATATATATATATATATATATATATATATATATATATATATATATATATATATATATATATATATATATATATATATAATTTATTTATGGGCGAAGTTTAGAAAATCTATGGGTTGAAAATTGTGCTCACACCAAACAGTCATGAAAATGCGTTGTTGTTTTTTCCAATCCACAGCGCTGGTAGCTGTCCTTTCGATGTTCATGTACGGCATGACGTTCTTCCCCGTGTTCGCCTCACTGGCGCTGGGCACGGCGTTCTCCTACGGCCTGGGTTCCCTGTACGTCTGGATGTTTTTGGTGCTGGAGTTCTACAAGGTCGCGGAGTGCCCGATGGATGGTGTAAGAATCATTAGGGGTTTTATGGGGACACAGCTAGGACCAGGGTTAAGTCGTGGCTATAGCTGTGGTTAGGGCTAGGGCTAGGGCTAGGGCTAGGGCTAGGGCTAGGGCTAGGGCTAGGGCTAGGGCTAGGGCTAGGGCTAGGGCTAGGGCTAGGGCTAGGGCTAGGGCTAGGGCTAGGGCTAGGGCTAGGGCTAGGGCTAGGGCTAGGGCTAGGGCTAGGGCTAGGGCTAGGACTAGGACTAGGACTAGGACTAAAGCTAGGGTTACGGCTAAGACTAGGGCTTGGCTTAAGGCTAGGGCTATGTAGGGCTAGGGCTTTCGTGTAATGCCCACATTCTTTTTTCTAATGATCGCCTCCTTTCTTTTAATCCCCAACGGGTTTTTTTCAGATCTCCAGAACTATTCTTCTGGTCCGCGCCTTGCCGAGTCTGGCGTGCCTCACTTACCTCAGCATCTCCTTGCCGCTCCGGTTCGGCATCGCCTGCTATAGACGCCGGCTCCTGCTGCCGACCGTTGACCTACCCCCAAGGACGGAGACCCTGGAGGACATCAAGGAGTCCTACCAGGGCGCCCATGTGAGGACATTGCTGAAAAAACCTGAACAGAACAAGTAAGCATCGGGATTTAATGTGTGTGACCCACCTAGGTTATGAGAGTCCCTAGCACATTCGCTTGATAGGATAGTGTGATGTATATATATATATATATATATATATCTTTTCACGCATCTTGTCGGAGCGGTGAGGGTAGTATTATAATATATATGACCAGGTATGGTTTGGTTCTTTGATCTCAAAAAACGTTAGCATGATTTCGCTGGGAGATCTAGTTCCAAAGCCTCAAAAGTTTGTTTAGTAAAAGATATATCAGTTCCAAAAAGAAGCGCTCTAATTGTTATATGTCTTAGTTAAACAATTTTTAAAATGTGTTTAATATTTAAAAACATTAGTTGCTTTTCATCCCTCTATACGAAATGTAAATTCGATTCATTGATATGATTATTGTTTTTATTATTTAAAAATACATTAATCGCTTTTCCACCACAATGCAAAATGTAACTTGTATTCATTGATCAGAATATTGTTTTTTAAAAAACATTAATTGTTTTTTCACCCACTATGCAAAATGTAGCTTTAATTCATTGATATGGTAATTGTTTTTATTATTTAAATTATTTATTTATTTCACCCTCTAAGCAAAATATAACTTTTATTCATTGATATGATTATTGTTTTTATTATTTTAAAAAATTGCTTTTCATCCTCTAAGCAAAATATAATTTGTATTAATTGATATGTTAATTGTTTTTATTATCTGTTTAGACCAGTCGTTGGACTGAAAAATAAAATAAAAGAAATTCTTGTCAACAAGTTCAATGATCTTGTTTATCACAAACAGACTGGTAGGTTGAAGTATTTATGTCAAGTATATGATTTTGTTTTGTTTCGTGAAGTTCGTTTGCTAACTTTAAAAAATCGTGTACTTAATTTACCAGAAACATATTTTAAAATTTGAAATTTTATTTAATGTGTCGTTGTTATTTAAAGTTGGAGTATTAAAACAAAATTTAAATTAATGTTATTTTCTTTTGTGAAGTTCGTAAACTAACTTTTAAATAATCTTGCAAACTTATGTAACACATATTTTGAAACTTGGAAAATTAATGTTATATTTGATTGTTGTTTAAACATAATTTAAATAAAAACTACTTTAAAACTGCTTTATTTCAGGCTTTAGGTACTCCTCGAGATTTATGACAGTAATGTTTGTAGGAACTTGTGTCATTTATGTGGTATGTTGTATAGCCTTATTTGTGTCAAGTTTGATTTTTTTTTAAATTTATTTTATTTTAATTTCGAGTGTATTTTAAAGCGTATTTTGTTAATTTAAAAAAATGTTTTATCTTTTTAGCGCAATTTCCATACTGACAATTGCGATTATTAACTCGTCATTTCTGGATGTATGAATGGATGGATGTGTGTCCGCAGCTTTAAGTCGTATCTCCTCCTCAACGAAGCAATATCGAGGGCTAGTTCCAAAGCAAATATGTTACGCAAGTTCCGAGGATGATTGGTGGGCCAAACAAATTCCCGGAATTCCTTCCTGGATTTCCCGGAAAAGCCAAAAAACCTCGAACAAATGCAGTTTTCGGCCCATATCTCGGCAACCAGACCACTTAGCGACTTGAAACATTTACCAATCGATTCCTGTCATAATTTAAAACAACATTGCCGAAGAAAGTTTTCAAAAATATCCTTGCGTTCGGTCACAAAAAATTGTTATGGATAACATAAGGAAATTGCGCTTAAATTGTCACTAGACTTTTTATTAACTTGTTTTATATATATATTATTTTAATTTCGAGTGTGTTTTAAAGCGTATTTTGTTAATTTAAAAAAAAATGTTTTATCTTTTATTTATTTTTTCTTAATATATATTTTTTTAAAATTTTGTTGCAGCTTACAGTTGAGATACTGGTTAGAACTATCATTATCTTCGATGGACTGACGGATGTGATAGCGTTTGTGCTAGAGGCCATTGATAAAATCATTGACGCATTCAACGAGATTCAACCCAGTCCCGAGGAGGAGAAAAGCAATGCCGAAGTCTATCTTGAGCTTGGAAAGACAATCACGGATATTCTTCAATGTATGATATTAACTCCGTTACTGTTCTAGTTTTTTTTTATACGAAGTAGGCGTATAGAGAAAGTATTGTAATCGTGCAAAAAAATTTTTTTTCGAGATTTTTGGAAATCTTGACGTTTTACACCTCCCTGAGTCGGAAAAACATAGTTTTGCAATCCTGTCCGTATGTCTCTCTCTCTCTCTCTCTCTCTCTCTGTGTGTGGGGGGGGGGGGGTGTGAATGTGTAAACACAATAACTTGAGTACCGTTACAGCTAGGTTGATGAAATTTCATATATAAGTATTTTATCAAATGTGTAGTTCTTTGTCAACTTTTCAGCGATTTCCGATAACCGGAAGTGGAATTTATTATACCTTCAATTTTTCAAAAGCCTATAAATTGAGTACTATTGCAGATGGATAAATTATCTGCCTTCTGTAAAATTTTGAGTAATTTCCGTTCAATGGAAGTAGTAATTTACGCTATTTCCGATTTTAAAAAAAATGCATGTGAATTTATAAAGTACTAATAATACACATTTTGTTTGGTGTTCACTTAGTGCGCAATTCTATTTTCTACGAGATTTTATTTTATTTTAAAAAGTTCAAGCAATTAAAAATGGTTTAAAAATACTGTCTATATCACGAGTTACCATCCCTCGCAGTGTTATATAAGAATATTCTAGAAAGTTTAGGGGAGATCATTCCCGGTTTGTTTATTTAAAATCATAGTTACGTCTCTTACTTGTTACCGAAGGCTCTGGAGGGGGGGGGGGGGCGGGGGAACTCTTTTTAATTAATAAGCCTTGTTTATCTATGTGTGTGTATGTTAGTTAGGGTACTTAAGGGAAAATATTTGTATGCATCAGGGACTCTTCTTAACATATGTGTGCCATGGCAACGGCAGCCATCTTGAAAACAAAAACATTTTATGGAGGTTTCAAGGTTAACATATATATAATAATAATATAATAATTGATCCTTCTTTTACTAACTCTAATAGAGTCAGCTGGTTAGTTTTTGTAGCAGAACACTCTAGAATTTTTTAGTAATTTTTAAAATTTGTATACTAGTAAGTTCAGCATTAATCTTAACGATATTTCATATGTCCCCGGGCGCCGACCCTAGGGGAGCTAAAATAAGCTCATTATAGCTGCTATATTGAATTATAAATATAATATATATATATATATATATATATATATATATATATATATATATTATATATATATATATATATATATATATATATATATATATATATATATGGGGAGGGGTCACCAAATTGAAAGTTTGTCCCGGCGCCGGGGGTTGCTACGCCTCTGCTTTAGGCGTATCCTTGCTACAGTATATCTGACTCAATAGAGGGTTGGAAACAAGAGTGTTAATGAACTAGCAATATTGACATAGAGTTTTATTTCTACGGGTACACAAAATATTCGTAGAAAAGATAGCACCCCAACCCACCACTACGGCACTCTTCGACTCAACATTGACTTGACTTGGACTTAGTCCTCTTAGCTACCTCTGGAACATAGGACCTCCACCATTTCCATTCATTTCTTCCGACCCCCGACCGTTAATTTAGCAGATGTCGAAGCAATTTTGCTGTTAGTTTATTTAACAGTATCGCCCTGGCACCAAACCTAACCTTAACATTTCCAGTTACGATTTAGTACTGTACTGTAAACTGTCTAATATTTCACCTACAGGGTCTGTAATTGTGTCAATTTGTGTGGCGTTCGTGACTAGTATCGTTAATATCTTAAGCATGATGTCTTCCTTCAGGTATATAATGCTTAAACCAGTCAAAATTAGATATTCTTATATATAAATAAATAAATAAATATACACACACACATATATATATATATATATATATATATATATATATATATATATATATATATATATATATATATAATATATATATATATATATATATATATATATATATATATATATATATATATATATATATATATATATATATAATCAACCCCTAAAATTTATATATGTATATATATATATATATATATATATATATATATATATATATATATATATATATATATATATATATATATATATATATATATATATATTCCTTTTATTCTGTATTTTTTGCAGAACAAATTTGTATGCACTATACAGGGGAGATAATAGTCACATTCCTCCAGCTGCTTCAAAAAGTACTACCTCTTTATGTGTAAGTGTTGGTGTGACCCACCTATTACAGTACTGCGCTTGCCACGGTGTAACCACCAGTAGTGACCCTACAAATACTGTTGTATATATCATGGTTTATACAGCCTGAATGTTGGTAGTACCACTCTAAACGATGTTACCATATTTGTCATTGTTGTGTGAAACGTGTATAGAGAATGTGTTTTGAATACTGTTGATGCCTTGATGCCTTCTCGTTAACTACTAACATCTGCCTACAGGTTGGATGTATCAAGTACGGTGGGTTTCAGGTTGCCTACATAGTTTGGGGTGAGTAACTAAAATACTACTGTGGGGGGAGGGGGTTTGAAGTAAATTTCCCAATTTTAGAACCTGACGGTCTATGGGGCAAGTTACCTCGGCATATGAAGAGATAGTGTGGTGAGTACTATGCCCAGCCGCCTTTACTTTCCCTAACGTGGGTTGGGTACCCATCAGAGCTGGGTGAACTCAGGGACTGTGCAGAGGCTTATCATCTAATTTATGGTGTGATCTGCGGAGTGGAAATGTCACTTATTAAACATAACACTTGTAAATTATTAGTGATATTACTAGATTTGTAGCAAAAAAAAAAGTTTTATTTTTTTCAGTTTATGCTGTCTGTAAAAATCATCTACATCATTATATCTATAATCTAGACAGTTTGTGTTTTAGACATGTTAAAATTACTGACTGGGTACTTATTAATCCCTGAATTAGCTCCGTAGTGATTCCCTCAACTTAAAATCTTTGGGCTTTTGATACTATTTTCAACTCAGTTTATATCCTAAGAATATTGACTGTTTGCTTGAAAAGCTAATTGCTTATATTCTTTCTTCCGATAGCATACCTCATAAGCAGCATCATCCTGTTCATAGTCTGCTTGATTTTGTCCGTTTTTATCCTGTTACTTATGACAGGGCACACTGATTGGCTAGTTAACAAGGTGCTACAAGTATGGTAAGATTTAATTTCACGAGCTTATGCATTATTGTAGCTACATTTGTCTTGGTACTTATAATAAACCGGGAGTTATCTCCCCTAAACTTTCTCGAATATTGTTATATTTCGCTACGGGGGATGGCAACTCGGGATAAAAACACTATTTTTAATCCGTTTTTATTTTCTTAAACTTGTAAAAATAGAATAGAATCGGGTAGAAAATGAATTGCGCACCAAGTGAACGCCAAAAATCTGTGAATAATAGTGCGGAATATTATTAGTAGTTAATAAATTCACATGTGATTTTTTTTTTTGAGAAATCGGAAATAGCGTAAATTACTACTTCCGACCAACGGAAATTACTCATAATTTGAAAGAAGGCAGAAAAGTAGATTTTTTACTTATATTTGAAATTTCGTTCATCTATCTGAAACAGTACTCAAGTTATAAGTTGTTTTTTTTTAATTTAAAAGTAGAATAAGTTCCACTTCCGGTTACCGGAAATCGCTGAAACGTTGATACAAGAAATTTGTTATAATATTTAAATATGAAATTTCATCAACCTAGCTATAACGGTACTCAAGTTATCGTGTTCACAGACACACATACACACACACACACACTCAGACATACGGACAAAAATGCAAAATTATGTTTTTCCGACTCAGGCAGGTGTAAAACGTCGTAATAAGGTGTAATAAGTTCTCTTACTTTTTAATTCCCACGTTTTCTTTTACTTGCTTTCTCTGTTTTTTTGTTTTTCCAATCAAATCTTGCGATCGAAATTTCTGGCACTTCCCAGTTAGCTAGCGCGCTGAAATTTTCAGGGAAGCTTTCTTTTGGATGACCATAGAATATTCAATTGTTATTATTACTAAATTGATCAATGGAAACATTTTATTGAGCATTTTAGACCGCTATATAATCTATATATATAATTCTCCTCTGCGAGCCATTAGAAAAAAAACGAGCGACGCGTAGCTCGACTCTCTCTTGCCGCGCGCAGTGACGCGAACGATCCCACGTCGCGACAGGCTTAGGGGCAGATAATTTAGTTTGAACCGACTTTAAACTTACAGGAGGTAACTATTACCACTGGTGGCCAGTTTGGGGGAGACGATATGGTCGAGTGGTTGGGCACACGATTGCTATCCCACTCGACACGGGTTCAAATCTATGTGTTCTAGTCAGTAACCAGCCCTCGTCCTAACCGCTATCAACTAACCTCTGACAATCATTCACTTGCGATTGAGACCGAAGAAGAAAGGGTCTCTCGTTTTTTTTACGAGTTGTCTTTTTACGAGTTGTCTTCGTTTACCCAAAAAAAGTGAAAAGATAAAATCGATAGCAAGATTTTAATGCAAACAAACAGACAAAGACTAAAAAGTAGAAAATAATAATCATTAAAAAAGTTTTAAAAAACCCACGTTTTCTGATTGAACTAAAAAGTAGAAAATAAACGCTATACATCACAATAATGCAAGCGATCACTCTACTATAAGCGATCAAAAACGTGGGGCGCCGTGATTTTCTTACAGTTTCTAATACTGTTGACTCTCTACAAGCTCCCTAATAAAAGTCAATAGTATTATCTAATCAATAGTAATATAACTTTTACTTCGGCGCCCCACGTTTTTGATCGCTTATAGTAGAGTGATCGCTTGCATTATTGTGATGTATAGCGTTTATTTTCTACTTTTTAGTTCAATCAGAAAACGTGGGTTTTTTTTTAACTTTTTAAATGATTATTATTGAAATTAAGTTTTGTTATTATTTCTGTTTTATGGTTAAACTTTAGCTGGCCTAGGCTTAAGGAAAACTATACAAAGACAAACTATAGCCTACAATAAATGTTTGGGGGTAATTCTGTTGTTTATATAGGACGAGCCGATCCGCGGTGTATCATACGCCGCTATTTAGTTGTTTTTTCTACTGTTCAGTAAATCATAATTTGTGAATTCGACAGTACCAATGCTGCCACTGAAAATATTTGCTTTAAAACATTAACCCCCCCCCCCTTCCCCCCCCCCCCCCCTTCCCCCCCCCCCCCCCCCCCCCCGAAGGCAGCCTCCTCTTAGTTACCTCCTCTAAGTTTAAAATCGTATCTGCCACTAATAGCCGTCACCAAACCCGGCTTACATTTAGCGTGAACACAGGGGGGTGGAGGGTGGTAGCGAGAGAGAGGAAAAGAGGGGATTGCAAGGCGCTTGCAGCTTGTTTCCTAACGTCTCCCAGAAGAGAATTATATATATAGATAACGCGGCAAAGCTTTAAAGCTGGCCTAAACGAAGGCGAGCCTAGATTATCCCAGAACCCATCCAGCTATGATCGGTCCAGAAACTTTGTGTGGATAGTTATCCACAGCTGCCTGGTATTGTGCTGACCACTCATTACTTTTTATCAAGTACATCATAGAAGATTACATAATGAAGATATTTAAGATTATTTTTTTGCTATTAGGTGCAAAACCTTGATCTCACCAACAGTCTAAGAGCATATATGTCTATTTGGTTAGTGGATAAACTGTGATTTTTGTCAACAGGCCCAGTGTTCTTGTGGCTATTGGGCTCATGATTGCTCAGATCCTCCTGGCGAAATTTTTGTTTCTTCAAGATCGTGGTCAACATTTGCGTTTAGACAACAGGTGAGTCTTTTAGACAGGTGGGTTGGTTACAGGTGAGTTCGTTACAGGTGGGTTGGTTACAGGTTGGTTGGTTACAGGTGGGTGGGTTGGTTACAGGTGGGTTCTTTACAGGTGGGTTGGTTACAGGTGGGTTCGTTACAGGTGGGTTGGTTACAGGTTGGTTGGTTACAGGTGGGTGGGTTGGTTACAGGTGGGTTGGTTACAGGTGGGCTGGTTACAGGTGGGTTGATAACAGGTGGGTGGGCAGGCTTGTTACAGGTGGGTTGGTTACAGGTGGGTTGGTTACAGGTGTGTGTGTTACAGGTGAGTCTCAGTTACTTGTAGCTATTACGAGTGAAAGGTTAAAGTTAAGTAACAGAAGAACTTGTCAGAACATTCACTGACAATATTTTACTCTAACTCTAACCATCCCAGGAATTTCTTCTTCATCTTCACCTACTTCATGTTCTTCTACAACATCTTCCTTGGTCTGGTCTCCTGCCTGTTGAGAATTATCAAAGCCATGTTGGTTGGGACTCTATTTTTAGCTCGACTGGACAACAGCACCCTGCCTCGGAAATTTGAATTTCTTGACCCAGGTTGGGATTTTTTCTACTTACCTCAATAATCATATCATTTTAATACATAACTTGACAGCTTTCTACTTTATGGTTACGTGTTACTAATGTAAAATATGATCTTTTTTTTTTAATTTAAAGATTTTTTTTTTGTAAAATTTGAATTATCCCTGTTGGCAAAACGCTTGAATAAGGGGAGACACTACCATCTATCTATATACTACTAAAAGTCAAGTTTGTTTACATGTTTGAATATTTATTTTTTTGTTTGTTTTTTTGTTTGTTTTTTTGTTTGCCTGATCGACTATTGTGATATGTTTGACTCTATCTGGAGAGCTGTAAAATAGTATGTAGGTAGAGAATAATTTTTTAATGCAGACAGACTGTTAATCACAAATTTATTTAAAGACGTTAATTAATTTATTGATTTATTCATAGTTAAATTAACCGTATTTTTTTAAAAATGTTAATACTTTGAATAAACTTTGTGGGGATAGTGACGTCCCTTGATGTGTTTACTTTTTGGTTCAATAAAAATGGCGGACTCATCATAGACTTTGTGGCCCATTCAAAAGTTTAACGCGTTACAAAGCTAATTTTCTGCCGGCTATAACTTAAACAATACGTCCGTTTGCTGTATTTATTACGTTCCAACACTTATATCAATTTTCAACTGTCTTTTTCATTTAGTTTTACGATAAATTTCTCTAGATCTAAAGATCAGCTGTCGAAGGGAAGTTATGAATCTAGCCTAGATCTAGATTCTAGGTCACTACTAGACTCAGTGTAAATTCTAGATCTAGACTTAATGTAAATTCTACATCTAGAATCTATTTCAGGCCTTAATACATCTAGAATCTATTTCAGGCCTTAATTATTTTATATAAATCTTTGTTTGGCTAATTTAAGATTAAATTTAATTTGAAAGTTACTACTACTAGATCTATGCGAGACTCAAAAGTATAGTATAAAAATTCATTTGTGACGTCACGAGTAAATAGCTAAGTTGGTAGCGTAGCCCGCTCTCATGTGGGTGGCACAGGTTCTAGACCAATATGTCAATGATATTTTTTTTTCAATATTTTTTTTTTAGATGTGAATAATAAAGTTGCCTATCTGAACTTGGCAGGATACAGGGCAGGTGAAGTAGAGTTCATCTGTTTCTTTGTCCTAAGCATATGAAAGGATAGTGTGGTCAAAGACATGCTCGGCTGGAATCGTTTTTTAAACGATAAAAACATGTTGTCTGAGACTTGGCGGGACACTGGGCAGGTAAAGTAGAGTTGAGTAGGTCCCATGTGACGTCAGTATATGAAGGGATAGTCCGAAATCGGTGTTTTCGGTGTTTTTAAAAGATAAGAAACATATTTTTGAATGTGGGGTCTGTTTTTTGTGACGATAAGTGACACTGCAGTAGCGTAGCGAGGAGGGGGGGGGGGGGGCGGGAGGGGAGGCGGGGGGGGGGGACGGGAGGCGGGGGGAGGTGGAGGGGGGAAGGGGGGGCGGGGGGGACATATGTTGGGGCGCCAAAATGGTTTGGAAAAATAAATTGAAAGGTTGAGGGGGGTTCAAATCGAAAGTTTGAATGGGGGGGGGGGGGTGCACATCAAAAGTTTGAGGGGGGGGGGGTTGAAAATCGAAATCTTGGGGGGGGGGGGGGGGGGTTAAAATCGAAAAGTTTGTCCCCGGGCGCCGGGAAGGGTCGCTATGCCTCTGAGTGACAGACGTGATGTTTTTTTATGGATGACCCCCGAAACCCACAGTTATCCAACGGATGACGGGTATTCTAGTAAAATATTTAAAATTTTACTGTTGTTTTTTTTTTTTTAAATTTCATATAAGATATTTTTTACTAACAACAGAAACACATTTTTTTAAAATAACATTTAAATAAAATAGCTTACATTAACATCGATTTTTAATAGACTACTTCTGTTTGTAAATAAATTTCAAATTTGTTTCAATTTTTAGTAAACGTAAAAATAAAACAGAATAATATTTTATTGTATTATAATATTTATTAGTTATTATGTATGAAATAAATAGTGTATGAATTGTCATTTGTAAAGTTTGCGATCATGATGAAAAGAATTTTTTCATAACAACTTCTTTTTAATTTCATGTATGGATGAAAATTAATGTAAATAATCTTTTGTGTTCTTGTTTTAAAATATTTATTCTTATACTCTTTGTCAACAGGCTTTGCAGCTTATCAGGGCTACATACACATGGAGGCAGCCCACACGCACCCAGTAGTGAATGTGTTCATTAGACTTCTCATTAGCTTAAGCAAGTCCCGTGCCACCCAGAAAGAGAAATACAGTCTCATCGATATGCCAGATGTTGACGATAAAATGAAATTGGAGTTACAAGCCAAAGAGGCCAATGGTAAGACTCTAAACACGTGGTTTTTAAAAGTCTTAAGTTTCCTTATGCAAAGATTAATTCGTTGTTTTTTTTTAAAAATAGTTTAACACTCAAAATGGATTTAATAACTTGTTACCAAAATTATAGTCATTAAATGGTTTCATTTTATGTTTCAAATACCATATTTAACCATTAACATATTTGCTTAAAGATTTCAAATTTAATTAAAATAAATAATTAAAAAAGCGAACTAATATTTTAATAAATAAAAAACAGAAAAAAGACCAGTGAATGTTGCTGCAAGGTTTAACTGGCATGTCACCTACACACTTCTGCATAATCCTACTGTAAGTCAATTTTATAGACCTATTTATGACAATAAAGTACTTTCAGCATTATATTCATCTGTTTATACTACTCTTGAAACATTACCTATTAGAGTTTGTTACATGCAAAAAAAGAAAAGTAAAGTATCCTTTCGAACGTTACTGTCCAGGGTGCAGGTGAAGTAGATTTCACCTGTTTTAGTGAGCTCAGTTTAATATGGTCAGCACTATGCCCAGCCTAATTTACTGTCCCTAACATGAGTTAGGTACCCAACACAGCATGGTGGATTCGGCGACATCCTATCTACTCGAGCCCGAGATCCGAGCTCGGATAATTTGGGTTAGCAATCTAATGCTCTACCATTCGACCCTCCTTCCCATCTGGGTACATGAAAGGAAGTTTAAAGCATAAAACATAGAACTTAACCCTACCATTTCAAAAGTGTTTTTAATAGTTTACCATTCGACCCTCTTTCCCATCTGGGTACATGAAACGAAGTTTAAAGCATTAAACATAGAACTTAACCCTACCATTTCAAAGGTGTTTCGTATACTAGTGGGAACTGTATTTCAATATGACAATTTTTGCATACAGCAGTTCTTTACCATACTATTTAATTTTTCAGTTTATAAAATGGCCCCTAATTATTTCAAATTATGACTCATTATTGTACCTCAGGTGAGGCTTTACAGAAGGGGATTCATGCAAGCTTTAAAGATAGCACAAAGGGATGGCTTGAAGGTTCCTATTAGTGACAAGCCTATAACAAACTTCGACCTTGTGAAAACACAAGAAGAAAGAGAGAAGGAAAGACAAGAGGAAATACAAAGAATCCAGTCTGAACATGGAATTAAAGATGGCTTTTCTATGTTGAACTTCAACAAAAACAGCAAAGGTAATTCTGGACACAAAGAAGGAAAGACAAAGAAAAAGAAAGGGTTTGGCTGGTTCAGAGGGAAGAAAAATGCAGTCGAAACTCAAAAGTCTCTGAGTTTTGATGAAAAGGAAAACGACATCAAATCTCTGACGACACAGGATGACGATGAGAGTTTAGACACCAATGAAGAGTTCAGCGATGCGGATGGAAAATCTGAAAAGTATGTTGAGACAAAGGAGAAACCTATAGAAGCTCTAGCCTAAATCATTCTTACAGTTTTATTGTTCATGTACATATATCTGTTAAATTTCACCTTTTAAATCTGCTAAAAACTGTTTAAAAAATAGTGTTTTACAGGATAATTTTGTCTGCAATCTTGAAAATAAAATAGGCCTATCGTGTCCATTAATCTGCTAAATACTATAAAAAGCGTTTTAGTTTAAAAAGCTATTTATCAACTAAAATACAATATAGAACTATTCATTATTGTCTGTGATAAAATGTTAACCTAAGCTTATTGTTTTACTCCAACCTTATTTACAAAGGGATATTACTTGGACTTATTTTTCCTATAGCTTACCTAGGCTAAGTTTAGTTTTACTAGATAGACTGCAATAAACATACAAAACAAAGCTTGACTATGTATTATTTCATCTATGTGCAAAAGCACATAACGCTACTTTACTAAGAAATAGATTTTCAAAAAAGCTTGACTATTTATGTTCAAAAACACATAGCACTACTATAGTTGTATGAAGAAATAAATTTCCAAAAAAACTAGATTAAACTTGACTGTAAATTATTTTACAAGATCAGGTAGGAGGTTACATATGGTTGGGTTCATTATAACAATTAGTGTAAGAGTTAGTGTTGATATGATCCCATTTAAAAAATTGTAACAATGTTTTTTGTTAATAGTAAGGTTCAATGTTTAGTTTGCAATGTACACCCTTAAAATGCTAAGTAATTTAACTTTTAAATTAGTTCAATAATCAAGATAATTTTTTTTGATTAAAGTAAAATATATGTAGTATATAAATAATATTTTTTTTTAAATAGTAGGTTTACCTCTACATAATTCATTAAATTGTTTGCATGAATGTTATGAGCATTTCTAACATAATTAATTCATTTTAAAAGTGTACTTATATGTTGTTATTAATATATAAAAATGTTATGTTTATAACAACAACAAGCATATATTATTTAGCCTTGGCAACATTGTGTTTTTTGAGCTGATTAAAGTTATAGCTTACTACTGTTGTCGTGGCTAATTTGGACTGTTTACATATCTTAATCTATTTTCAAGAGAAATTATCTACTTTTTAAGACACACTAATCTATTATTTTAGTGAATACCTTTAATTCATGATCTCAGTTATACTAGCTAACATTTCTTTTTCTCAATAGTACCTTGCAGTTTTTCACCAAGTCTAGTGGAATAAAATGCGCTTTGATAAACAAAGGGAGGTTACTCTATATTCTATATTTAACTGTAGAGTTAATGAAACTCTTTACCACTGTTGTTACTGTTCTCCTTGTGGGTATTAACTTGTTTACTTCGGTGAAATAATTTTACTGTATTTTTAATGGGTTAACTTTGTCTATGTACCCGGTGGAGACTCGTTCTATTGAACTAGTTAAATAGACATGAAAATGCATGTCAGAAAACTAAATATTTAGAGATATTGGCATAATCTCTTTTCTGACTCCTGCTTCACTGTATCGTTATTTTATTCCTCGTTAACTTAGTATTGTTAGATAAATATCATATTTCATATTTTTAAAGAAAGAAATAGAATTACTTTGGTTTGACAGATTAAACCATGAATAGTATAAAGCTGTTAGCTAATTTTATTTATTATAGTTTATGTTTATTTATAATTATGCTGAAGTTGAATGACAAATCCTCCTAATTAGTAGGCCTATTCTAAAAATATAATAACATGAAATGTATTTATTTAAAATGGGTGAAGGAAAAAGATTAAACTAATTACTATTTTTATTGTATACCTATTAGTGTCACTTTTTTCATTGGTTATTACTCAATTAATTCCAAAATTTAACCTCTGACTGAGGGGGGGGGGGGGGGGGTGTGCAAATCAAAATCTCGAGGGGGGGGGGGTGCAAATCGAAAAGTTTGTCCCCGGGCGCCGGGAAGGGTCGCTACGCCTCTGCTTTAATATATGTATCATTATGTGTAGTTGTCTCTAATTAAGCTTGGGCTTTCATTACTATGCTCAGAGGCTGGTGCCTCTTTACTGTTTCTTTTATCCTTTCTTGGCTTAACACACACACAAAAAAACTATTACAACACCAGATTTTAAATGAATTGTTTCAATATAAAAATTAAATTTAATAAACAGGTTATTCATACATGCACCACAACTAACGTCTTCTAAGCTTCCGCGATTTTTTTTTACCCCAAATCCCTTCTACATCAATCCCTTCTACGCCGATCCCCTCCATCTCAAATCCTTGCTATTCCCAATCCCTAATACCATCATCTTTTATACTCGCAATCCCTGATATCCACAATCCCTACTGTCATAATACGTTATCCCACCATACTGAAGCAGAAACCTTCGTTTAAATATGTTATACCACCACTCTTCTTACTCTCGATACTAACTTTACTTTCAATAAGTAACAGCAATATCATATATTATAAAAAATAGATGACATCAATATCATATATTATAAAAATAAGTAACAGCAATATCATATATTTTAAAAACAAACCCTATCTTTTAATAACTTTATTACACGTTTACAATAAGCTATGCCTTACATAATTTGTTTTAACAAAATAATAATAATTTTACATTCCTTTTGCTAAATAATGTTGTACATGATATTCAAATGTGTGCCAGTAACTCAATGTGTCTTTTTCACTATAGGCTACGACGTATAGTTCTACAATGTTGATTGAATAATGATAAAATATTAGTTCATCTAAAGCTTTCTTGTTGATCCGGCAAGTAATTGTAAATTATAATGTATGTGTATATTATTAAAAGCAGTGATTGCTCAAGAAAAACTATCACTTTTAGAGTTTGTGCTGCAAAGATATTTTACCCTCTTCTCTACTGTTTTATTTTAAGATTTGTTTTTGTACACGCTGTACATGATTTCAATAAAAAGTTATAAAATGAAAAAACAAAATGTTTTCATTGAATAACATTAACATTTTATTTTTCATTGACATTTGTATTTATTTTATACAACAAACCTAGTGGTAAAATTTGCTTAGCATACCAATTCGGAAGATAAAATTGTCGTCACTATCATAGGTCAGAGGCGTAGCGACCCTTCCCGGCGCCCGGTGACAAACTTTTCGATCTGCACCCCCCATCAAGATTTCGATTTGCACCACCCCCCCCCCCCCGTCAAACTTTCGATTTGCATCCCCCCCCCTCGAGTTTTCGATTTGCACCCCCTCAACCTTTCAATTTATTTTTCCAACCCATTTTGGCGCCCCCTAAGGTCGGCGCCCAGGGACATATGTCCCCCCCCCCCCGCCCCCCCCCCCCCTCGCTACGCTACTGTTATAGGTTCAAGATACTAGCGTCGAGGACATAGGTCTTTATCGTTATTCTACGCTATGCTGTTTAGGAAGAGTAAGAACGTTGTACAACAACCCGCTTGTAGTCTAGTAGTCTAATATTCCTTTATTGGAATCCTGTCACCTACTACAAATATTTTTTACGGAAATGGCTTCTTTGAAAATCTGCTCCTAGACTCCCTGAGTCTATCCAGCTCTCATGGGTACCTGACTCTGAGTTGGCGAACAGATATGTAACTGGACACAGAACATGTCACAGTATCCATTCACATGATACATTCACAAAACCGGATGTGTTGTACCTTATGTGTAGTGTTTTTGTTAAACCTCAGGGGTAAATTTGATACGACACTGAGCTAGACAATGTCCTTTTTTTAATTTGATTACAGTACAAGTGTCGATGCACGTTGCTTGTCGCATTAGCTTTAGTTTTATATGTATCACTATTTCATAAACTATAAGAGAACTTTATAAATTATACACAGCTTTATAAATGACAGGCTACATTTACAAATTATACACCTCGGTACAGATGACACAAATCTTACAAATTACACTTAATTTTAAAAATTGCATGCATCATTACAAAATACACTCATCTTTAAAAACGATTCACCTCTTTATAAAATACACGCATATGTACAATTTACACAGTTCTTTACAAGTTACACATGTTTACAATATAAACATATATTTTCAATTTTAAAACATGTTCACAAAATATACATATCTTTATATATTTGCATATATCGTTAGAGATTAACAAATTACACACGTTTACAAATTATAAATGACTTTACAAATATACATAATTTTTTATAAACTACAAATCACTTTACAAATTACACACATTTTTACATGTTACAAACGTCTTTACAAATTACACATTTCTTTACAACCTAAACAAGTCTTTACAATTATCCTTACACATCATTTCAAATTACACACGACTTCACATCCATACGAACTAATTCCCCTCTCCATGCTCCACCGTACTTTATCTAAATTACCGCCCTTGCCCCAGTCATCGCCCTTGTCCTAAAAATTGTGTCAAGTTATGGCTGTGTGTGAAGACGGAGAGAGGGGGAAGAACTCGGGCTGTTCTCTTATGCAAGCGACCGCCATATTTGTTTTTTTTTTCTCCCCTGTGTACCAGAATCTCTTACCACTGTGTTAACGCTGAGCAGTAGTCGTTCGTTTTGTTTACGTTATAGGAAGCGTCTAAATACAAGTACGTCTTCTGGATAAAATACCGACATGGATGCAGACTTATAGTAAGTGCTGACCTCGTTGTGCATGTTAGCTAGATTTGTGTGGTTTTTCCTTGACTATGAATGTGTACGATCATAGTCTCTACTCTTCTGACCCGAGGCACGGCAGGTAAGGCGATTCGGTGCCGTGGTGGAGGGGTGGGTTCGGATCCTTTCTGGCTAAAACGACTTTTTTTTTCTAGGACTACGTATGTCTACGTCTGGCATTTTAATAATAATTTATTTCTATACTGCTATTCCCTGATCCAGTGGCGTAGCCAGGAATTGGTCATGGGAGGGGTTCAAATATTTTTCCATATGTATAAAATCATATATATATATATATATATATATATATATATATATATATATATATATATATATATATATATATATATATATATATATATATATATAAATGGGGTGTGAGTCCATGGGAGGGGTTATA